CGATCCGCCCGGGGCCTCGCCCCTTTCCCAGACTTCCCTCATCCCTGGCTCCCCCTAGGCACGGCACCTCCGGCCCCCCAGGGCTGGGCTTGCCGGGGGAGGGGCGCGCCAGCCGGGGGCAGGGTGTGGGCCAGCCTTGTCACCACTGCCTGGGTGCCACGGGAGCCCCCCGACCCTGCGTCCCATCCACAGCCAGATGTGACTCCGCCAGCCAGCAGAGTGACCGTGGGTTTCTTGCTTCTCCAGGATACAGCCCAGTGGAGGTTTGATGGAGGCATCGGATGGGCCGACAGCCCTAATTCCCTTTGGGGGGGGGTCCCAGGCCCCTCACAGCCAGATGTGACTCCGCCAGCCAGCAGAGTGACCGTGGGTTTCTTGCTTCTCCAGGATACAGCCCAGTGGAGGTTTGATGGAGGCATCGGATGGGCCGACAGCCCTAGTTCCCTTGGGGGGGGGTTCCCAGGCCCCTGAACCCCCATACTGGTTTTTTGTCTCCTTCCTCCATGCTTTCCACACGTGGGTGAGTCAGTGGGAATCGCACAGCCCAGCCAGGTGGGGACCCTGGGGTACAGAGCAGACAGCCCCCCACTGTGTCACAAGCAGATCAGACAGCTGCTCCCTGGACGCCCATGAGCAGCAGCCAGGCAATGGGCAGACGGCTCGGCTCCAGCCCAAAGGGAAAGGAAACGAGAGGGAAGGATGCTCACGCCACGGCTCCTGGGCAGCGCTGCTCTGCTCTGGGGCACTGGGGCTCAGGGGGCCAGAGCTGGCCTCTGTGTGCCGGAGGGGGCTATTGCAAATGAGCACCCAACAGAGCGTCTCGGGCTACACACCATCCTCAGCCACAGTCCCTGGGCCAGGAGAGCCAGGCTGCAGGAGGCGTGGGACACGGGGGTGAGTAGATCTGCAGGGTGACGCACTGGGGACTGTTCACTCTGGTTTGTGTTCCCGGTTTGCTTTGTGGTGTGTGTGATTCTAGTGTCCTGTGCGGTTCTGCAGTGACTGTGTGTGCGTGCCTCAGTTTCCCCGGGCCCTGCAGCTCTGTCTGCATGAGGAGGGGGAGGCTGGGTGTGACTCACTGGGGAAGTATGTTCAGTCTCTCAGGCCCCAGGACCAGGTGACAGCAGATAACACCTTGGGCCTAGGAATCTGAACAAAGCGGGGGAGGGGCTGCCTAGAAGGCTGGAACCAGTTGCTGGGGGGGTGAGTTAGTTTTCGGTTGCTTTAGGAAGGGGGGAGTCCAGCTGGTGGGGGGGGGG